CACCAATACGTTCCTCTTCCATAAATGCAACACATTTAAAATAAACAATTATTCCTTTTTGAAATACATTAAAAACGATACACACGATCACTATCGAATATGAAGATTACACGAAAGTGGGTAAATTTCCAATTTCAATTTAAATTACTATTTCGATAGCAATGCAAAAGAAACAAGTACTTTAATTTGTTCAAACTCTATTCATATATAATTTTAATTGTAGTTTTAAGATTTTAATTGCCTAAATCATTTAATCGATTTTTTTTTTTAAACCGGGTTATTGTAATGCCGAACTCGGCGGGCGGGGGGGGGGGGGGGGGTGTGGCGTGCGTCAACTTTTGGTTTCCGCTCAATAACTTTTGTTTGCTTGTGGCCTATTGACACAAAACTTGGTGTATGGATAGATTATAACAAGAGGCAGCTTGGGATCGCTCAAGATCAAGGTCACTGTAACTAAAAATAGAAATTCAGTTTCCGCTCAAGAACTTGAGTTTGCTTTGGCCTATTGACACCAAACTTAATGTATGGATAGCTTATATCAAGAGACAGCTTGAGATTGCTACCAAGGTGACTGTGATTGAGGTCAAGGTTACTGTTACTAAAAATAGAAATTCAGTTTCCCTCAATAACTTTAATTTGCTTAAGCCTATTGACACCAAACTTGGTGTGTAGGTAGCTTATATCAAGAAGCAGGGTGGGATTGCTACTTATGTGTCTGTGATCAAGGTCAAGGTCACTGTTACTTAAAAAATGAAATTCAGTTTCTGCTCAATATCTTGAGTTTGCTTTGGCATATTGACACCAAAGTTGATGTATGGATAGATTATATTAACAGGCAGCTTGGTATTGCTACCCAGGTGTCTGTGATCAAGGTCAAGGTCACTGGATCTAAAAATAGAAATTCAGTTTCCGCTTAATAATTTGAGTTTGCTTTGGCATATTGACACCAAACTTGGTGTATGGGTAAGTTATATCAAGAGGCAACTTGGAATTTGCATCCCAGGTGCCAATTGTTAAGGTCAATGTCACTGTTACTTAAAATAGTGCAATCATTGCTAAACGTTTTAAACCTACCAAAAACAGTTTTGTATTTTGTTCCGGAACATATCATTCTTTTCAAGTGCAATATTAGTATGCATGAAATAACAGAGACTATCTAGGTCACACCTTTTTTGAGAGCTGACCATAAGCTTATGAAAATAATGTAATTGTCCCCCGCCTTTTCGAAGAAAAAAGGGGGATATAGAAATAGGCTCCGTCCGTCCGTCCGTCTGTCCGTCCGCACTCACAGGAGAGTAATTATGTGGCTAGAGGGACAATAGGTAACTGTTCTTTCTCTTTGATGTCATTCATTCCGTAATGCTTTTATGTGGCTATTTTCTTTTGTGTGGTAAAAAAGAACAATAGAGAGAACAATAGAGTAGCCACATAATTACTGTCCTGTGAGAACGTCCGTCTTATCGTCCGTCCGTCCGTCACACTTTCGTGTCCGGTCCATAACTTTGTCATTTATGAAAGGAATTTAAAATAACTTGGAACAAATGTTTATTATAATAAGACGATGTGTCATGCGCAACAACCAGACCCCTACCTCCAGGGTCAAGGTCGCACTTGCTCATTCAAGGTCAACATTGTCTATTTGAGGGTATATGTCATGTCCGGTCTATAACTTTCTTATCTATGAAGGGATTTTGTAAATACTTGCCATAATTGTTCACAAAAAACCAGTCACGTACCTTCAAGGTCAAGGCCTCACTTTGAGGTCAAATATAAACATAGTCTGTTACAGGGTATATTTCGTGTCCGGTCCATCACTTTGTCATTTATCAAAGGAATTTGAAACAACTTGGCACTAATGTTTGTTATAATAAGACGATGTGTCATGCGCAACAACCAGACCCCTACCTTGAGGGTCAAGGTCGCACTTGCTCATTCAAGGTCAACATTGTCTTTTTGAAGGTATATGTCGTGTCCGGTCCATAACTTTCTTATAATTGTTCACAATAATCAGACGATATGTCATGCGCAAAAACCGGTCACCTACCTCCAAGGTTAAGGTCACACTTGGAGGTCAAATACTTACATAGTCTGTTACAGGGTATATTTTGTGTCCGGTCCATAACTTTGTCATAGATCAAAGGGTTTTAAAAATACATCGCACAAATAGTCACTATAAAAAGAGGATGTGTCGTGCGCAACACCTGCATCCCATCAATGTCACACTTAGAGGTAAAAAATTGGAGGTCAAAGGTTAACAGAGTCTGTTATTTGGTATATTTTGTGTCCCGTCCATTACTTCTTCATAGATTAAGGGATTTTGAAAACACTTGGCACAAATAGTCACAATGATTAGATGATATGTCATGCATAACATCTGTGTCCCTACTTCCAAGGTCAAGGTCACACTTAGAGGTCAAAGATTTACATAGCCTGTTATATGGTATATTTTGTGTCAATCTATAACTTCTTCAAAGTTCAAGGGATTTAAAAAAAACTTGGCACAAATAGTCTCAATAATAAGACGTTATGTCATGCACAACACCTGCATCCCTACCTACAAGGTCATAGTCACACTTAGAGATCAAAGCTTAAAATGATAGATTTTTAAATTCCGTGTTTCATTTTATTTCTTAACAAATCTATTGTTGCATTTGCAGATCTAGCATTGATCATAATTTTGGACTGAATGTTCTGAGATCCATACCTCAATCTTTTGAAATAGCACAATTTAATGCTTCATTTAAAACTTCCCGAGGCGGGGGACGTTGGTAACTCTGTTACAAAATTCTTGTTTTACCAAGTTTTAATTTTATAATTATATTGTAGTGTGTTTTTTTAATTTATAAATCAGTATGATTTCTTAAACAAACAGTCATTGTTGTTATTTATAATTTATAAAGGTCATTTCAAGGGCATATAACTCATACATAAGTCTTTAAACCGTTTGTATATTAATTAAGTAATTTGTCACAATTCCATGAAACATTTAGCGTAGACTGAAAATTCTTAAAAAGTAGGCTATATTTTTAGAAATTAAATTTATTTACATTTACATTTATAACCGGATTTACGATGACTTTGAAATCTTAACATATTCCAACTCCATACATTTTAACAAAGACACGATAGCCTATTATGATGTGTTGACTTTTGTTATAATGCCCTGCTTTTCTAGAATGTCTAAGTATTTTTCTACCTCCAGTTTTTATGAATATGGTACTGATCAAACCTTTACGAATTTCCATGATTCAGAAACACTTTACTGTCACAATTGACAGACAGCCTTTGTTTAATCTCTTTAGCTCTTTCCGATAAGGTGAGAAAATATTTCTTCAGCGCGCGCCACATCATAACAAATAAAAGTACCCGTGTTGGTTGGATAACAACTGAATTAAAATGTTTATTTTTTGAGGAAGGAAATTATTAACATTTAAGTAAAGAAGCAACATTATTCACTTTCAAGTCTTGAAAAAATGCACAAATACTTAAAATCAAGTCGGGTACATGAAAATCAGGACAATATGGCCTTAAACAGTACATGAACTGTATGAAATTTAGGAACACAATTTTCAATTATACATGTATATATATGTGCAATGATGAATCATGGTTATTATCTTATAGATTTTTTCCTTCTTTGATAAGTTTGTTACCTCCTTTAAAAGAACACAATAGTAACTAAAACTAATTCATGGTCATTTAGGTGGTTTATTGGTTTATTTCTCCTCATGCCGAAAATAAGTGATCTATCCGAAATATTATCAAAAATTCTAGCTATCTATCTATCTTCCATTAATGTCAAACCAGTCATTACCTCTAACTGAATGGACCCCTTGATCCTTGCACAGAGCACAGGAACTTGAAATTCTATCACTATTAACGATAATAGGCCGACGACAATATGCAAAATATACCCCCTATATACTATAAAAAATATTTATAAATAGTATATAGGGGGTATATTTGGATATTATCATTAATATTGGTTATTTGATAGAATTTCAAGTTCCTGGCTGTGCACAGTGTATAACACTGATACATGCGAGGATTACCTGGATTTCTTACCAGTACACCTCTAGTTGTCTCTGAAAAAATGCAAAAGTGTTACCCAGGATCAAACCCAGGACCTCAGGAAAGACAGCCAGTGTTCTAACCAACTGAGCCTTCGCGCCACCTAGTTCAGTGAATCCGGGTCAGCTCGGCCCTAAAACATACTCGGCCCCTGAGTCAGCTCGGCCCTATTCCAACTCGGCCCACTTTTAAAAATGGGTAAAGGACATCAAACGACTCCTATTGTCACGGGCTATTATTATCAATCAATGTGTATGTTAAAGATACCGTTTAATAAGGTGATAATTATGATTGACTCATTCATTCAAATTTGATTAGTGACCACCTGCAATTAATTAGAAGCTTATGCTATTAAGTAAACACATTTTTGTTTCATATTTTTTTGAAAATTACTTTACAAACAAAATGCATCTAAGGAAACACATTTTTAAATTATTATATCTATATTCACATGCACAAGTATCGGACCTGGGAAGAGAAAATATGGAGTTATTTTATCAATCTGTTCATATTTTTTCTTCCCAGGTTCGATAATCGTGCCTGTGTCTATATTAATTTTATCGAATCTGCAAAACAAATAAATAACTTTTTTTTCTAAATATACTTTATTTCAGCAGAGGTACAATGTATAATTATATAATAATAATAAGATATTTCTTATTATTCATTTACCTTAACAACATGCAAAGCAAAGTTAATACGTTATAGGCCTATATATTTTTGTTAAGTGGGCCGAGTTGACCCGTGCCGAGTTGGTATAGGGCCGAGTTAACTCTTTTCCAGTTCAGTCACGTACAGCTAGCCAGGACACACTGTATTGTCTAGTCGTACGGATGTTATAAGGACATGAGTATCAATAATCAAACTGATAAAAAGTTTAATGATGCCCTGCCTACTCAATACTGATATCAAATACAACAAAAAAAATATCAAACGTTATATACCCGCTGAACCTCTCTTTTCCTATAGGCATCTCGTCTTTTATCAGTTTGACCTGTTCCACCAAATGATGATGCGAATATCGTTGGTAGAGCCGAATCCTCCAACTGTGGCCGACAAGAGATCCCTAGACTCATCATAGTCCGAGTTTGTTGTGTAAAACACGATTTCTCGAAGTGGGCGCTACAAACCAACTGAGAATTTCTTCCTGAACGTGGAGTCCACGAACTGTCTCTGGAATATGGCGTTCCAGTATGTCGCAGTGCAAAAACCCATTTTGCCCTGATTTTCTCGTCCCTTGGGAAATTGTGCAGACTTATATCATTCCCACGCCTGTTAGTGCAACCTCCTGCACAGCAAATGGCAGGCATTACTTAATAATATGTCTTAAAACTGTTAAAATGAAAGGTAGTGTGTGAATGTACGTTGTAAACAATGCCGATAAATATGGCGGAGTACCTCCTGTGACGTCACAGGCGGAAATCGTCGAGCGCTCACGATTTTCGGTGCATAAAAATGTAAACCGCCGAACAGGTAAAATTAATCGAGGATTAAATACAAGAAATGATAGGATGTGGGTGTTTTTCATTTATTTTCCGTTTATATACCTTAACAACTACCGTATTAGACCAAAATATGCCATCACTTTATATAACCTTTAAGAATTAATTATCTGACCTTGAAATAAGCAAAATTGTCATATTGATGGGCAGATAACCATGAAAAAAGGCCGGTGATATTCATTTTTTTTGTATTTACTTAAAACTGATGCTATCATTATTTTGTAATGCAAACTTTTCATAAATTCGATTTAATAGTTTTCTTTCTGCTTTTTGTCTATATGTAATCTAAGCATACAACTTTAAGCACACAATCTTGAAATAACGGATACATTTCTGCTTTATAACTTAATATGTATTAACAACGTAATGGATAACAGTTTCAACAAATAAGAAAATGGCCAGATTAATGGGCAGATAACTATAAAACAAGACCGTTAATATTTATGTTTTTATTTACTTAAAATTGTTTCTATCATTATTTTGTAATGCAAAAAAGAATTTAATTCTATTTAATAGTTTTTATTCTGCTATATATGTAAACTTAGCATACAACTTTAAGCTCACAAACTTGAAATTATCGATACATTTCTGCTTTATAATTTTGACTTAATATGTATTAACAAAGCAATGGATAACAGTTTCAACTTTAAATTTCAACCTCTAAGCTTCGGAAGGAGTTATGTCTTTCGCACAGCCGATATCATGGCTGACCAAGTGTCAAATATGTTTACATAAAACATTTGAAAACAGTATTTACGTTACCGAAGTGGACTGCATAAACATGAAATAAAAATGTGTTAAGATACCGTTCAAGATAAGATTAACTTTAAAACAATCATAACTGTTTCAATTATTAATACATACTATATTTTAACTGGTAAAAATGTTATTTATCCATATTCTCATTTCTCATAAACAGACTCATTCAATTCGACACTGAACAACTTTATTGTTAAAGGATGTAAATACTTTTGCTCTTGATATACATGATATAAAGATGAATAGGCTCACACAAATCTATTGAATGACAAAGGAAAAGAAGCTTGCTATTTCCAAAATATTCAGTAAAAATGACTAATAAATATTCATATGATTTTCAAAATGGTAATGAAACACAAAATTAATATGGATATGCATTGAATTAATAAAAACGCACCAATAACAACTTTGTTACAAGTAATAGCATAATGTTTAATAACTTAACATAACTTACATTGAACCTTATACAACAATGATAACATTTTGTCTATTTAAAATTAAAACAAAAATACCTATCTCATAAACACTGTTTCAATCTTAGGTTCTGTCTAAAATTATTTGAACATAGACTCTAAATAACTTCCAAATAGCAAGCCATATTGTTGGGATTACGATATTATCACCGAGACAAGAACTTTTGATCACCTATCTTATATAATCCAAATCCAGCCCTATCCGAAACTATGTTATGCAAGCTGTAAATCACAGAGCTTATATTGTAAAGGCTAAAATATTACTTGTATTGTTGTTGATACTTTTGCAGAAAAGAAGATAAGAAAAGAAGATCTGGACGAAGAGGCCCTTCCAGAAAGGTCAGGAGAAATTCAAAAACTTAACCGCTACTTCGGTAAGACTAAATAAGCATTCTTTTGATTTAGCATTGTATTGTAGGAGCGATTATATAAGCTTTATTGTTCTAACCTTTGTGCCAGCTGTATACCATTTACTAAAGGGAACCTTACAACATATCATTTTACGAGATAAGAATACTACAAAAAGTAAATCCCTGTATCTATTTGTGTAAATTTAAGTAATAAATAAATAAATAGAAACATATGCTATAATTTATTGAGATACTAGTAATTATGATGGGTAACGAGTATAAATTGAACAATGTGGCAGCTATGGAATAGTTAAATTTTGTATTAAGAACGAGTCAGATGTTAACAACCGATAACCTTTAAAAATATATAATTTTATGCTGAAGATAGACAAGTCCACAATAGCTTAAAAGGGCATATCAACGAATATTGCAATATTGCACAATTCCGCTAACATGTAATTTATATCATTGTACCTTCAAATATTAGATAATTTGTTTGCTATAAAGTTTTGACTGACAATACTATCATCAAATATGTTCTGTCCTATATCGCTCACATTAAAACACTCATAGTTTGAGCGATATAGCCTTTCAAAAATATAATTATGTATATGTTGCTGTGTGTGTATATTTTTCGTTGGTAAATTATTATTGAATGTTTTTTTACGTTCTCTTCACTTTTTGATCACTTTAATTTATTCGTTTCAATTATCATTACGTACAGATATGTATAAGCTACACTGCAAAGATGCTATAAAATTATATCGTGTTACGTGAAATAACATAATACGGGGAAGTCAAAGTCAGGGCTTTGGCTTGCACGGCTATAGACTTCACGTGTATATTTAAAAAGAAAAAAAGAAAAAAAAAAGAAAAAGAAAGAAATATAGAATTCAATACCTATCAGCGAAATTTTCAGTGTCTTGCTGTAAGCCGTAACGCAATGATAAACGGCGGAGTAATGCGACAATTGACAAATAGCATCTTTTCGGCCAACAATATAACCATAAAATCCGAGGAATAATTGGCAGCCATCTTGGATGGGAACCATAACAGAATAAGGTAGCACTCCACACTAAATTTCAAGTTTCTGCCGTCAATGTCCTACAAGCAATATGTCTGATAAATCTGATCCCAAGCTACTCAACCTGGAAAAAGAAAACACATTTTGTTAAGAACATATATGTCATACCATTGCAAATCTGTAATGAAATCATCCCATGTGCAACAGTCAGGCAGTTTAAAAAAATCCAATTCATTCCGTAAAAGCCAAAAATCTATAGTGGTCCGAGACCCAAAACAACATTTTTCGTCCCTCCGGCAAAAAATACCTGGAAATATACGGTCTACAAAATCTCTGTCACTGCTTTAGCAACTCCCTATGCATGCAAAATATCACAAAGAAATAGGTGCTTGGCCTTGTAGATTTTTTGCTATTGCTGAAAGTTTGTACCCCCCTGTAAAATTACTTGTTTTCACCGAGCATGCTGTTTAAAAGCAATGTTTACAAACAATGGCGACCTTGACATCAATAATTATCAGCATGTGATTTCTAACCATGTTTTCGAATTTGCCAATGATCATATTACATGTCACAAAAACAAATTGTATGCTGAAAATGCATTTTAAAGACAACCAGTCATTTAAATCCACAATAGTCACTATATCCATGAGAGCCATTCGAAGCTGCGGCTTCATTTAGTGTGGTGTGCTGCCTAAAACAGGAAACCAGAATAAAAGGAAGCAGTGTATCAGATACCGAATGGCACTTTTAAAACGGAAAATGTAAAATAAAAATACCGAGTAGGCTTTGCCTAATTTCATATTATTAATAAGTTTTAAATGTCTAATTGAACCAGAAGGTCTGCAATCACATAGATTGTAATATTGCGCGTTGCAAATCAAGTGAGGCACAAACTGAAGCAACATGATAAGGATAAAAAAATATGTTAAATTCTAGGATGTCTGTTAAAAGTATTTTTTATATTGGACCAGATATATTTTAAAAGAAATCAATGTAAAGTAAAAGAAATTGAATGTTTTCACATACAATATCAAAGTGAAAACTGAATACGATATTACGACTATAAATTGAAACCAGTATTTCATAAGCATGCAAACAATGATGTATCTTATCAATACCCTATCATTTGGAATTTTACCTTTAAGGTGACAACGGAGTCAATTATCACTGAAAATACCTAAAATGAGATATTTTGCTTAGTAGATTTATCATCCTTTTCTGAACACATTCGTGATTTAATTTTGGAAGCAGTTAGTCCAAAAAATGTCTTTTTAATAGCATGATCTTCTTGTGATACAACATTAGAACATAAACATTAAATACTTGACAAGCTTTAAAGTGCTTGTAACACTAATGAACAAATTCATACCCAATTGTATTATCCTACAGTATCCAGGAACATAATGCATTAATGCCACTTGATAATATCTATTTGTAAAGAAAGTTCTATGGGGATTTGTTTATCTTTTTTTTTGAGACGTATATTGTGGAAAAATGCAAGGCAAAAGTGTAAAAAAACAGGCGAAAGGGTATCTTGCATATCATGATACAAACATTAGATAATAAAAACAAGGTAAAACGCTGATATTTAATTATATAAATATTATGTACTGATAATTCCATGCATTTGCCAACAAAAGGCTAAAATATTATTTGATTTATTGTTGATACTTTTGCAGAAAAGAAGAAAAGAAATAAAGATCTGGACGAAGAGGCCCTTCCAGAACTGTCAGAGTCGGAACAACCCTTCAGTAAGACTTAATAAGCATTCTTGTGGTTTAAGCATTGTATTGTTGAAGCGATTATATAAGCTTTATTGTTCTAATCTTTATGTCAGCTGTATACCATTTACTAAAGGGAACCTTACAACATATCATTTTACGAGATAAGAATACTACTAAAAGTAAATCCGTTTATCTATTTGTGTAAATTTAAATAAATAAATAAAAAAATAGAACATATGCTATCATTTATTGAGATACTTGTAATTATGTTGGGTAACGAGTATAAATCGATTAATTTGGCAGCTATGGAATTGTTATTTTTTGTTTTAAGAACTAGTAAGAAGTAAACAACCTATAACATTAAAAAAATAAAATTTTATGCTGAAGATAGATAAGTCCACAAAAGCTTAAATATATTGACAAGGGCATATCAACAAATCTTGCAATATTGCACCATTCCGCTAGAAGGTAATTAATA